TCCGAATGCTTTTTTGACTCACCTTTTCCTGTGTCGTTATACCTCTTTGCCCTACTTTATTTTTCTGTCTATATACAGGATTTGAATTGTAGATAGCTTGTAGCACTTCTTTCTCAATTTTATGCCCACAGTACACTGTATGTATGAATTATAATTGCTGTGTTCAAATATTTGAATTTTTCTATAAATGAGATCTTGCAGTTCAAGTAGTTACAGTATGTATTATTTTTTTTCTTTCATTGGTAACTTAAAAAAAAATTCCGAACATGTAAGTAAATATTTTTTCCTTGTCTCTTTTAACTCATCAGAATTTATAGAAAATTTCAGTACCTTCTAAATCCTCGTCAAGTTTATAGCCTTTCTGGAAATGGACCAATGCCAGGGTAAGTCTACAGTTAATATTATTACCAGGAACTAATTAAATAAAATGCTACATAATCAGATGAACAGACTGGAGCACATATAGCATGTTTTGAATGTATCAATACTACAGACCTCAGAATGGCTGCAGAAATTTACAGGTATTATTTGTTTACGTGTAGAAATAAAGCTATGTATCTTATGTTTTACTGATAACCATGCAGTAATCTCAAGGAACTGTGGGATAAATTTCATTCTGTTTGCAGCTTTTACTGCTATATCAGCAACCCACGTTCATGTGGGGGTTACTTTTATGTTACAAATATCAAGCAGCCTCAGAGATTGACCTGCAGGACATACGCTTCTTTTACATAAACATATACGTGCATATATGTATGTGTCTGTGTAATATAAATATATATATGTATAGTGTACATACATATGTATTATGCATGTCTGATATAGAATGTTGTTTCAAATTACAATGGCTGCGCACTTCTTAACAATTCCATAATCTTGGGGATGTAATGGGCATAAAATAACTGGACAGGCTAGATTATGCTATCGGTGACTTTTTCTGAGGACTGAAGTGTTATCCAAACCAGGTAGTGTTGCAGTCACTCACCTGACATGCTTCTTCCTTATTCTTCCTATTGTTGTGAAGACAGGAGAATTGCAGCATATCAAGTACCAGCTTTGGCCGCCTGAAATTGTCTCCTTTTTATGTAGTAGGTACTTTGTAGGATAAAACAGACAGACCAGCACTGAACGTCTGATCTGTGCTTTCATTTTGTGTGTGTTGGATGTTATTTAGTTCTGCCAGTGATACATGAAATTTTACATCAGTGAGAAGAGTTGTAGAAGGATATTAGGAGATACGTGTTCACCGACATGAAGTTTAGGCTGTTGTTTGAATACTTTTCTTTTTAATCTTGGGAGTTTTTATTTGTTTAGACTTTTGTCTTTTAAGTTGGAGGGAAATAAGACGAAGGTGGAAATGTAGTAGTTTATGCCTTGCGAAGTTTTATTTCAGTTGTCACAGATACATTACTGGAAAAAGTGTGCTCTGACAGTTTCTGCCCGTACTTCTGGTTTTAAGGCCAAATAGACAGGAAGCTATTCTCTCTTAAAACCATTCTACAGCAGCTGTCCGTTCATTTATTGTGTTAGACTTGGGATGTGTAAAGCATTGATGAAAGTGAAAAGCAGATTGGGCCCAATCTTTTTTGAAGTTAAGATTCTCAGAATATCTTGCAATATAGTGTGGCTAATGTGCAACCTGCAGAACGGTGCAAAACCTGCTCAAAAAATGGAAATAATGACACGCATGGTTTCTTTCATGTTTGTGGTTTTATCCTGTACCTGAATGCTAGTGCTGTTTTATTACTAAAATGTTATTTGTTGTTTGTATTTTATTATGCTACTCTTGACACGTTTGGAAAACTTAAGTAATCCTAGTCCAAAGAGTAAGTTGACTAGAAAAACTGCAGAAATTTATTTGAGGAATTTATAAGATATTCTGAGACAAAAATAGTAGCCAATACTGTTTTACATATGGTATAATAGAAATGCCATGCTAGAGACTGAGATGACGACTTTCAAAACAACTGATTTTTTTTTTCCAGAATCATCTTGTTTCATTGAACCTTTTTTAAAAAACAAAACAAAAACCCCACAAAATCAAACCCCACTTACTGACTGCGTTTTTTTCTGTTACTGACTTCTGGTTTTCTCCAGATGTATGAAAATGTATTTTAAGGCAGAAGCACAAGAGGGCAGTGTTAAGTTCAAACTGAAACCCTACACTGAAGCAATTTAAACTTTAGTCTTTTGAACCAGGACAGTGTTTTTTAGAAAATATTTTCAATTTCTCTTCCTATTAGGAATCGAAATAGTTTTACTTCAGAGTCACTTTGAAGAAATTTCTGATTAATTTTCAAACAGACACTGCATTTTATTAAGCTTGTTTTGGTATATTTTTTTATTCATTCCACAGAAATTAATAATCCTAAATTTCCAGTTTATCTCCTGCCATCACTTCATGCCCTTGGCAATACTGTCTAGACTGCATATAATTTGTCCCTTAAGTGAGCAGTTGAATAAACTCTGTATTTCACTTACCAGTCCTTGTTTCCCTCTCTGCAAGGTCTGGATTGCCTAGTAAAACCTGCCTATCCATCCATCCACTCACTTACCGCTCTCTATAATGCCAGTTATACTGAATTGTCAAGCAAAATTTTACATTTATTTAGTATTGTCATATATGTCATTTAGATTGAAATGGAACAGAGTGAGGGATTGTATAGCACAGAGAAAAACAAAAGTGTGTTCTTTGTGCCAATTACTGTTATTTAGTGGAAAGGGATAAACATAATGTATATTTATTTTAAAGCATTTATGATTATTGTAATACATTTTAATTGAGTCAATTTTGAGGTTTTTTTTTTCTTTTGAATGCTAATTTCAGACATGTTTACTCAACCTATAGAATATTTATAGTATGAGGGTAGAATTTGCATGGTTTTGGTAGAGCCGTGCTGTCTGATTTAACCCACAGGTTAATGTTTTTTATTTATGATGGTATTTTTCACATGGGCTGCTGTCATCAACCAAGAAGATAACATTCACAGGTGTTCTAACTTGAGTTCCAAACATCTGTGGCTAACATGAATTAATGTTTCCAGTTAATTTCTATCAAAAAATCTAAGTATCTGCTGTTTAGATAACAGGGAGGATAAGAGAACTAGAAGACCAGTAAAATCCTAATAGAGGAACTGTGAAACTCGTGTTTTGTTTTTTTTTTAAAAAAAGTCAACAGCTCAGTCACTAGGTCTTTCATTCTTCCTTGTCAGTGGAATAACCATATTTCACAGAAATGTGTTGGAATGAAGGGCTCTTTAGCAGACCTGAGCTGGAACAGGGTTAAAATAATCTTTGTTCAGAGGAAGAAGGGCCACTAGTGAAGTCCCATATTTGAATTTCTTTGGAATCTGGAAATAATACATTTCATTTTTCCTTTCAGTCCTCTCCCTTTGAAAAACAAAGAAACAAACAAACAAAAAATAAAACCTTATACAAAAAAAACCCTCCATCTTTCATAATACCAGTTGTTGTGCATTTCTTTTTCATAAATATGCTGACATGTAGCAGGTCAAACAAAAAATATTTTGATCAAGTGGACAGTGAATTTTAGTATTGCTATCTGTGCAATTATTCAAGCGGATGTGTCACCTACTTTCATAATAAATGGGATGGTACTTGGAGAACTGCAGGGGACAGTAACAAAGATGGTTCTTGTAGCTCCTTAACATGCTTTAGCTAAGGTTTCCAGAGCTGTTTATGTCAAGACTCATATACATAATCTATATAAAAATATGTACGTGATGCAAATAAATCACACGGCAGCCGACTCTCTGGCACTGATTCCTTTCTGACAACGGGAACTGACCTGCTGCGAGGCCTGAAAATCAAGGAGCTCTCAACCAAGGGGCAACAGTACAATTTAAACACTGGTATAATAATTAATGGTTTAGACATTCTTTATTTGGGAGCAGAGAGAGATGGGTGAGCAGGAGAAACCCTGTAAGCTCTGCAGCTGAACACAGGCATAAAAGGTACTACGCAGTTAAAGAGTGCCACAGTTAACAAAGTGACGTGAAAATTGCCAGGCTGATGCATTGTGTAATTTGTGCCTAGCACCTGGGTTTTTAGCCTTGAAAAGAGTTTCCCTGTTTGGTTGTTATATCTCTATGGGAGTCTTCTACTTCTGGCAACAACTGTTATTGTGGATTTAATGATCTTGAAGAATCTGAAATTCAGTTATTGTTCACCTCACAGAGAGGTAAATAATAGCCGGATGAATAGCAGTCCAGCCACAGACCCACATGACTCTGTAGAGAGGTCACCATCTCACCAAGGCTTTGTCCCTCTGAAAGGCTCCCGTTCCCTTAAGTCTATTATTTAAAATGTCTAATTTATGTCATTTTTATACTCTATAATAGAAATTATATCCACAAAAGTTGTATTTCTTTGTAACTCCCTTAAGCATTTAATTTGGAGAGCATGTATTTTTTAAATTCTGTCCACAAGTTTACCTCTACAGGCCTTTTTAAATCTTAAATTCTGTCCACTTAAAAGATGCTCAAGACAGCCAAACTGAATCCCTGCGGCTTACTCTGTAATTCAGCTGGGAATCTACAGCACCTGGGCTTTTATAACTTCACAAAGCAATAGGCCTATTTTGAAAATTACACTGCTTTTCCTGATTATTGGAATTGATTGCTAAAGCATTTCCTTGCTGTTGGACATTTGGAATATACACCAGGAATATTTTTAGAAGATAACTGCATAGTTGTTTTCTCCTGAACAAAACCTTGAACCTTGTCTATATTTCTTTGGAAGAATTGGTGTTTTTTTGCCAAAGAAGGACAAAGCAAGCCATGATGGGTTGATTGAACTCTAATGATTAAAGTTACAGTTGTGCACCGTAAATCACTAGAACTTAGAACTCAGTAAGTCTTAACATGTGAAACTTAAACCTTGGTTTTAGAGATAAATTTTAAACAGCTGTTTAACAATATTATTACTTGTATGACGACTGTGATGCTTGCTGTATAGATAACACAATTGTTTAATATTGTAAATATCACTAGTTTCCATTCCTGTCTCAGTCTAGACTGCCAGAGCTGTGATCCAAATTCATTCGCCTCTCTCTTAACTGTTTTAATTTTTCAGTAGTGAGTTTGCCACACCCTTACAGTCTTTGCCTGAAATCTGTTTGAAAAGTATCTGCCACATCCTTTAGCTTGCATATTAGTTTGCTCTTCTCACTTTCTTGAACTGGTTATCTTTTCTCAGTCACCCCAAAATAAGCTTTTTGACTATCACAGTTACTTCTGAACGTATGACTTCAAGCTCTTTACTCTACCCACTACCCAGCACATATTGATTCACTTTTCCCACAAATGCTTCTGTATTTCTTCTTCTACCTGGCATGTATCTCCCAAATCTGCAAGGCTGCTAT